AGGGGATTCACCAGAAAACCCGCTCGTCGGAAAACTAAACTGTATTTATAAGACAAAATTTGATTTGTACCTCTATATATTATATTTTGAATCCCCTTCACGTAGCCCAAAAAATAGTTTAGTGGTCAGGGGAGTTCAAAATCATTGTTAGGTTATTGGTTCAATTCCCACTCGACACAATTTTTTTAAATTTTTTAACTTTTTTTTAACCCCTTGACAGAAAATTCTGCCTCTGCCACTGCAGACAATGATGCAGAACACTATGGCCTAAAAAAGAAAGAATTAAAAAGGCAAGATTATGCATTAAGCTCTACTACGCGCACACAATGTCTAATACTATTAAAGACCAAAAGAGAATCTAAAGTAAGTAAATCAAAAAGAGAAATCTAATTAACTTTAAATCATAGCTTTGAACATATATAAAACTCTTGGAGTCCAGTACTCAAATGGTCATTCAACTATCCCAAATTATCTCCTAATGTCACTTTTCTTTCGTTTGTAACAACAAAGTCACTGGGCTATGCCTATTGCACTCAGAAGGTCACTCAACTAGATTTTTCAAATTTTGGATTTCCAAATACCTATTTTACCAACGTTTGCTGAAGAGGAATGTAACGGTGACAAGCAATGGAACAGTACAGATCTAGCTGAGGAGAAGGAAAATCAGAAGCGCAAGGGCCAATTGCCAACAATTCTGCGAAGATTATAGTTCTCAGAAGCAGGATCTTCGGCGCAACCTTCCCCAAATCTAGAACAACATGCAGCAACAACAAATGGAGGAAACGAACAGAAACAACATGCAAAAGAGCTTAGGCAGATAAATCGCAATTCTCATATGGGCATGATACTGGAATATGTACCACCAAGTCATCGAGATGGTAAGATTGTTGTACAAATTGTTGAGGAAGACGTGAGAGACTTGAATGACCACTGGGCGACAACCTTAATTAGTTATGTTCTAGGTGATACTCCATATGAGAAATCTATGGAGGCTTATATTGATTCAGCTTGGGATTTTGTATCGAAACCTCAAATTCTATATCACAGTGATGGCTACTATGTTTTTAGATTCTCAACAATTGAAGATAGGGATCTAGTAATGCAAGCAGGTCCATACTTGTACCATAACAAACCATTCATTCTGCAGAACTGGGAAAGATAATTTCATTTCGACCCTAAATGCATTACAACTATTCCATTATGGATTCATCTCCCTAGCTTACCTGCTGGATATTAGACTGCAGAGGCACTTAGCAAAGTGGCTAATGCTATTGGAATTCCTATGTATACTAATAAATTCATGGTTGATCTTAACAAAATTTCATATGCAAGGGTCTTAGTGAAGGTTGATATCACTAAGCCAATGCTGGAGAATATAGAGATTGTTACTCCATCAGGTACTATGCAGCAGGAAATTCTGTATGAATGGAAGCCAAAATTCTGCAGTGAATGTATCCATTTTGGCCATGACAATTTTGAATGTTGGAGGAATAAGAAGCAGAACAATGAAGAGGCTGAGTTTAAAGCTCCCAAAAGAGGGAATAGAATTGGAAAGAAGAAAACATTGCAGGAATGGAAGCCAAAGGAACAACAAGAGCAAGATGGGAAAATAGATGGGAAAGGAGAAGAAACTCAGCAAGTAGAGGCAGGTAAGGGTAAACAAAAAGCAGTAGCTGAAGATACACCAACACAAGTGACACAAGTGATCCCTAGAAATGAAGAGTGCAGGAGTCAGCATAGCTATAGTCTTGCAGCAATACAACAGTCTCATCATGATGAGGGCATCACTACAAATAGGTTTAAGATCTTGGAAGAGTGCGTGCCAAGCACTTCAAAAGGAGATGGGACTGGGATTGAACCTACACTCAAACCATCATGATTGTGCACTTGGAATATAAGAGGGCTGAACAAGCCCTATAAACAGAAGGAGTTAAGACTCTTTCTGCAAAAGAATGAAATAGATATCCTTGGGTGTCTAGAGACTAGAGTAAAGGAAAGAAAGGCAAAAAGTATAATAAACAAGGTAGCTAGAGATTGGGGTTACTATTGCAACTACACTAAAGCTATAAATGGAAGGATTTGGCTCTTATGGAAGGCACACCTAACAGTTAAGGTACTTCAAATACATGAACAATTTATTCATCGCTCAGTGGAAGATTAAGCAACATACTCCCTGGTTATGTTGACATCAATATATGCTAGGAATAAGGTGCAGGAAAGGGCAAGCCTATGGCATGACTTGCAGATACTAGGTAGTCATATTCAAATACCATGGCTTATCAGTGGAGATTTCAACAATGTGTTAACCACTAAAGACAGATTAGGACAACTAATGACAACTAATGAGGTGCATGATTTCAAGCAGTGTATTGATAACATGCAACTGACCCCACTAAAAACAAAGGGGTGCTTCTTCACCTGGTGCAACAAACAGAATGCTAATGATAGAGTTTACAGTAAAATTGATTGGGCTTTTGGAAATTTTAGTTGGACTCAGACTTATGGACATCTAGAAGCTGATTTTCTGAAACCTGGAGTATCTGATCAATCCCCAATTGTAGTTCAATTATGGAAGAGAAGAACTATCTGCTCAAAGCCTTTCAAGTTATACATGGTGACAATTGACCATAAGGACTTCACTCCTATGGTGAATAGAGTATGGCAACAACAGGAAGAGCAGGATAAAGTGGAACTTATATGGCTGAAGCTAAAAAGACTAAAAGATGAGGCTAAGGGTCTGAACAAGGCTATGGCAAGCTATGAACAAAGACCGACTCAAATTAGGCAGAGTCTGGAATGTGTTCAAGCAGCTCTGGTCACTGATCCTTTTAATCAGCTGTTTATTGAGCAGGAGAAGCAGAATATGAGTGACTTGGAGAAATGGAGTACAATAGAAGAAATAATACTGAGGCAGAAATCTAGAGCAACATGGATTGATTATGGTGACTCCAACTCTAAATATTTCTATGCACAGCTGAAAATAAGGGCCAACAAGAATAATATTACTTCTGTATACAATGACTTGGGGATAAAGATCACTGATCCAAAGGTTGTGGAAAAGGAGTTTACTGAATTCTTTACACAGCTAATGGGGAATGCTAATGGATTAATGCCATGCCCTAATACTAGTATTATTAAGGTAGGAAACTGTCTCACTTTACAGCATCAACATGAACTAATAATGGATATAACTCATGAAGAGATTGATGAAGCAATTAGGGATATGCCAAAGGATAAAGCCCCTGGAATGGATGATTTTCCTATAGAATTCTTCACCAAGCAATGGGAGACCGTGAAGCAAGACATATATAAGGCTGTGTCATATTTTTTTCACACAGGTAAAATGATGCCAGCATGGAATTGCACTGTTATTACACTGATTCCTAAGATCCCAGCTCCATTTAAAGTGAAAGACTACAGGCTTATAACATGCTGCACTACATGGTATAAGGTTGTTGCAAAGATACTGACTAGAAGAATAAAGAAGGTAATAGAGGTGATCATTGGGAAGTCACAATCTGCATTCATTGAAGGAAGGAGTATTATTGATAAAATCCTATTTAGCCATGAGCTGTTCAAAGACTATAATAGGAAAGGTCTAACACCTAGGTGTCTAATGAAAGTAAACACTAAAAAGGCCTATGATTCATTGGATTGGCAGTTTCTTAGGTGTATGCTAACTGATCTTGGGTTTCCCCAGAAGTTCATCCATTGGGTAATGGAGTGTGTTTCAACAATGTCTTACTCTTTGATGCTCAGTGGTGGCCTTACCAAACCATTCCAGGCCAGGAGAGGGATTAGGCAAGGAGACCCCATGTCTCCTTACCAATTTGTCATTGCAATGGAGTATTTACAAAGAGATATGAATCAACTACATGCCACAAAGGAATTCAAATACCATCCAAGATGCAAAAAACTGGGAGTGACCCATATTTGTTTTGCTGACGATTTACTTATGTTTTGCATGGCACATAAAACCTCAGTACCAAAATGCAGGAAACTTTTCAAAGATTTTCTGTTGCATCTGGCCTTCAGGCAAATGCAGACAAAAGCTCCATGTACATTACTCGAGTATACCAGGACATCAAAGCCTCACTACTCAACCTAACAAGGTATACAGAGGGATCAATTCCTTTCAAGTACCTGGGAGTTCCATTGTCTGCAAAGAAGCTAAATATTCACCAATGTTTGACACTGTTGGAGAAGATCACTGAGAAAGTTAACTGCTAGTCAACTAGGATGCTATTTTTTGGGAGGAAGTTTGCAGGGGTTTAGGTCTGGTTATTTGTGAAATATAGTGAGGGATATATTGCAGGAGATAATCCTTTTAATGGGCTCTTTGTCTGACCCGAAATTGCCTCTTTTTGGGCTATCATTTAACCAAGTAGGTAACCCACCTACTTGTCACCTAGCAGCTTGTGCAGTCTCACAAAAATGTCTATATCTCTCTACTCCAATGTCGTATTGATAAAACGATTAATGAGTTGGAAACTAGACTCATAGATCTTCAATTTGGTGGGTAGATCACCCCGTAATTCCAAGTATATTGGGAGAAAAGCTTAATAACATTTGACCTAAAGTTTAAGTAAAACTATGAACTTAAGTTGCAACAACTCTTGTCGACTTTTGTTTCATAACTCGTTTGACTTCAAGACTATGATACGGATATTTTATGATTCATATACCTTAAAATACAACCTCTTGAGAGTATTAAGCACCCCTAGGTTTACCCAAAATACGGCTGACAACATCCTTGATTCGTTTAACTTCTAATACTTGTTAACCACCCTTATACACCTTTGTATCATTTAAGACCAATAGGATTAACCTCTTATCATCTTAAAGATAATCTCTTCATGGATTTACGTCGACGACCTTATGGCATGAACTAACGTATGTGAATATGTGTTGTAACACCCTCCCCTCCCCCCCCTCCCCCTACCGGACATCGTCTACGAATGTAAGGTTAGTTGGGAGGTTTAAAT